ATCTAGGCCTTTCAATGGGGTTGTCTTGGGGCCTCCTAGTGTGTTGATTATCATTCAGTACAGATAGATCCATTCTTCCCTTGGGAAAGTGGCTTTTACGATAATCCGTTAGATCTCAGTGACTGTGTCTTTAACCACGAAGGGTCCTTCCTTCAGAGCCAGCTGCTTACTTCTCTGACATCACCAGACAGATTCCAACCTCTGCTCTGGTCCAAAGCCTGGGCCTTCCCCTGCCTTTGGCCTCAGCTGCTGTGAGTTGCTAAGCAACTGCTTCCTGTGCAGCCACCTCGCGTCTCCTTCAGGACTGTCTTCTCTCATCGTAGAACTGACCCTTCAATTAAACACAGGTGGTTCTGTTCCCCAGAGCCATCCGTGCTGCGTGCTGAGCGGTCCCCTTGCTGAGCTCTCTCTTGCCGACTGTCCTCTCCCCAGTCAGCTCACAGAAATATACAATGACACAGAGCAGAAGCCTTCTCAGGAAACACTGTACATTTTGTGAGCTGGGGCATCAGCACTGCTTCTGACACAGGGCCACTGTTGCCCGGGAAGGTGGTGGTCCTCGGGAACCCCTCCCATGTTCCCAGGACTCTAGCTCTCCCACCTGGGAAGACATCTGATGAAGACCACTGCCCGATCGCTAATATTTCTTATGTTTTCCTCTTTCTGTGGGCCGAGTGCAGTGCAGGCATATGGCAAGCAGACATTTCTTGGATAAGTCAATCTGTGAACACGGGAAAGTAAAGGTGGTGACAGTAGCCTCCTGCCCCTCTTGTTGTTCATTTCCACTTTAACGTGTACAGCTTGAGGAGATGCATGGCTACTTGTTGGAACCCCAGGTCAGGAGCTGGCACTCAGCATCAGCACTCTGAGCCCCCGTGGCCACAGGACTTTTGCACATGACTGGCAGATGCCACCAGGACAGAGCACTAACAGCTGGTGTGACTGGAGCACACCAGCGGCTTCCTTGTGTTGTTGTGGTAGGGGACAGCTTCTTGCTCTCAGGTTCTGATATCTGTGGGTGATCCCTGAGGGTGGTCAGAGGAGAAGCAATGCTTGGGGTCCCCTCCTTTGGGAGGACTAGGTACCCAAAGGCTTGGGAGGCCTGGGCTGGCTGCTGAGCACCCGTTCTGTTTATGACTGTGGTTTGGATGTCATCACCCTTCTAACAAACCATTTCATTCCATTTTCTCTACCCGACATGCGTAAGTGTAGGTCGCTTACTGACGGGTCTCCCTGGGATGGAGGAGGAGCTCTGTGTGTGTCCCGGGCTCTCACGCCCATTTGGGTCCTGCTGGAGCAGTGTTCTGGTCACATTGTAATTTCTGCTGCTCACCTTGCCACAAGTGCCTCCTGAGAGAAAATGCTTGACGACGTGAAAGGCATCCCTCTTCCTGAGTTTGGAACAGGCTTCAGGTGTGCACAGGCATGCGACGGCACCCTCTCCCTAGGAGGAAGCCACCTGCATTGTAGTCAGGCACACAAGTCCCACTTGCGGAGAGAACAGGTGGGACAGTTTCTAGAAGTGGAAACTGCTTGGGGAGTCATTGAGTGTCAGGCGAAAGGAATCTCTGGACAGGAGGAGAAGCTGGCCGCAGCAGACTTTCTTTATTCCCAACAGTCCGTGTGGACCCTTTTCAGATCCCAGCTAACTTTGGTGTCAAAGAAAACACTGGTTTAGTTCCTGTCTGTTGGTTCTACCAACAGCTCTGTGCACTTGAGGTTGTGCCGGCAACGAGGCTTCTCGATCCCCAGAGCTGCCATGGCAGAACTGTGTCCCTGACAGCTGGGTGTCTGGGGAAGATGCCCAGCTTGTGACCAGGTGTCCTGTGAACAGAGGAGTGACCAGTTGTTTGCTGGGGAAGACTGTGTTTCTCAGCGCTGGCATCCCGAGTGCATCCCAGCGTGATGTCAGACCCTAGCTGTGACACAAGAGGTCTTAATATAATTTTGTTTAAGTGGTTTTTAATTCTACATGTAACATGACAACATGTAACATATACATACATGCTGTAAGCTTGTACATACATAGATGTTTGTGTATGTTGTTGTAAAGTGCTGTTGAGTCAGTATAGGGTTTCCAAGGAGCAGATGGTGAGTTTGAACTGCTGACCCTGTGGTTCAAATGGACCTTTAGATCCAGTGCTTTAACCTAAGCATGCACCACAGAGTTCTCGTGTACATGTATCTTTGTGTATATATTGTTGTTGCTGTTACTAAGTGCTGTGCAGTCAGTTCTGACTCATAGTAACCCTGTATAGGGTTTCCAAGGAGCAGCTTGTGGGTTTGAACTGTCGACCTTGTGGTTTGCAGTCTGGTGCTGATCGTACAGCACCACATCAGGACTCCTGGGCTCACCAGTGGGTATCTTTTGAATGGTGCCCAAATCTCTTTTTTCTGTTTTTCCTTCAGGAAGATCCAACTGCACAGTAAGTCCAGACAACAAGGATTGCCTTGAAAAACTCCCACACAGTAACCAATCCAAGGGTGTGGGGGTAGGGAGCATGTGAGGAGATGGGATGTGGGGCTGGGCACAGCTTTCCTCAGCAGGCAGCTGCTCCCTGACCAGAGGACACCGAGGGCCGCTCCTGAGGGCCAGGATTAGATTCTCTTAGCAGAAGATAATGGCGCCATTTCCTGCCATTTCCCTCATTACAAAAACCTTCCTGTGGAGTTTTCAGTTCCCATTTAGGGTAGAACAAAGTTGAACTCGGCTTGCTGGTTTTCTGGTTGGTCTTTTAGGCTCTTTTAGGAAGGAGGGAGGAGGGAGTTTTAGTGGGTGGCAGCCAGGGGACTTCTGCACAAGCTCTGAAATCGCCTGCCAAAGATGCTTGAGGGAATTGGGTGAGCTGCGCGAGTTCAAGGACACTTGGCCCTGAAAGATTTCCTGTGTGCATTTTGCCTGTTATGCCTGTCTCATTCCTGGGATGCCACGAGGCTGCTGGAGGGGTTACAGCTTCTTCTTGTGGGCTGTTAAGTCAGTGTGGCTCAGACTAGCCCTGTATGGGGTTTCAGAGAGGAGCTAGTGGGCTTGAACTGCCGACCTTGCTGTTGGCAGTGCTGTGCTGATCTTGCAACATCACACCAGGACTCCTAGCTCCCCTCAAAGCAGTGAACGGATTTCAGGAATTACAGGGACCTCTGATCAGCAAGCATCAGAGTTTTTTGGACCCAGTGCTGGACACCTCGGAGGCAGGGGTTGCCATGAAGGTGGCACCACCTCCAGCCTTCTCAGAGCGCCCTGCAGCTGTGGCACAGCCATGCCGATGGTGCTGGGGTGGGGACTTCCGAGGTGGTGGTGGAGGTTTCGTCAGGGTGCAGAGCTGCACAGCAGACCAGGGACTCAGTGCTGAGTCTGCAGCTGATGAACTCGGATCTCCGCACTGGCCGGCCGGCCATATGCTGGGTGCATGGTGACGCAGGGGCTCTTGTTGACCAGGGCTCAGAAGGGGCCCTGCTGCCAAGCAGGGCCATGTAGAAAGGAGGCAGGAGAGCTCACCACAGGAGGGTGACAGGGGAGCAGTTTCTCAGGAGCTCCAGGTTTCCCTGGATGTTTGATAAGTGATGGTGTCTACTTGGAGTGGACAGCATCCTCCTGGGAAGGGGACTGTGGTGAGTTAGGGCATGGCCACAGGACTGGAGAGAGAACTGGTCACCCAGGCCAGTGAACACCCAGGGCTCAGCTGGTCTGGGACAGCTGATTCCAGTCTGGGCTTCTGGTGGGCTGGGGAGGCCCAGTCATCAATAGCTCAGGGTCTGCCTGATGCAGCCACCTGAGACTGGATGCGGGTTCCTGGAGAGTAAAGGCAGGGGAAGTTGGTACACCAAAGCTCAAGGTGTCTGAGCCCCTAACACAGATAGAGAGTAGTCATGTGCCCACAGCACGGGGAGTCTGGGAGATTGTGGAGATTTTAGCTGCCCTGGGGTCCCGGGCTCTGGAGCTCTTTGTGCAGCCTCGGGATGTGGAAGCAGCACACAGGCCATAGCTGGGCAGGTGCAGAGCCAGCCTCGGTCTAGACCGTTCTCAGCCCCTAGCTGGGGGAGAGCTCCTGGAGAGCTGGCGTCTACTTTCTGTGAGGTTAGCTCCTGCTGCTGCGAGTCCTTCCAACTCACAGTGACCAAATAGAACAGATTAGAACTGACCCTATGGTTTCCATGGCTTACTATTTACAGAAGCAGACTGCGACATCTTGTTTCTGAGGAACATCTGATGGGTTCAGTCAGCAGCCACATGCCTCAGCACTACACCACCAGGGCTCTGTGCTCCTGTGGTTGACGGCAGAGGGAAGGCCCTTGCTTGTGGTCAGTCATGGAGCTGTGGGTGTAGGTTGCATGGGGGTGTCGGCCTGAGGCTGAGCATCCTGGATCCACAGGTGGGGAATATGGCCCCCTAAGAGGGCGGAAAAGCTATGGGTGGGCATGTTCGAGCCTCTACTGTGTCAGATGAATCTCATTCTCATCAAACCCACGTACTCCATCCACATGTTCACAGGGACGGTGAGGGGACCCAGTGGAGAAGGACAGGTGACTCACAGTGCAGATGTCCTTGGTAAAGGACTGAGCGCAAGTCCCGTTCACCTAAAGCAGAGGTGGCAGGAAGCTGCTGTTTATCTAAATTTATGTTGGCCACGGTTCATAGTTCAGTGGTACAACCCTCGCCTTCCATGTGGGAGACCCAGGTTCAGTCCTGGCCAACGCCCCTCATGTGCAGCCACCACCTGCCTATCAGTGGGGACTTCTATGTTGCCCTGATGCCAAACAGGTTTCAGCAGAGCTTCTGGACTAAGATGGAGTAGGAAGAAAGGACTGGCAATGTACTTCCAAAAATCAGTGAACGCCTTATGAATCCTAACAGTGCAGGCCCAACTCGGTGGGCAGCTACCAGCGTGTCATTACACAGGCTCGGAGCGTCATTCCCAGATGTGCTGGAGAAGCTGACAGTGACTTGGCTGGGTGGGTGCTAGGTCTGTCAGCCTGCTGACCCACCCTCTGCTTCCTCGTAGGCCCGCCAGCACCACCAGCCTCCAGGCTCGCTGCCACCCAGGACTCACCCGTGGGACCAGGAGTAAGTCCCAGCCACCAGGCTGCATCATGTGCTTAAGGCGAAAAAGCTCTTTTCACAATCTAGGGGGAAAAAAAAGATTTAAAGTTCTGAGTGTGAGAAAAGTCAGTTTGCATTTTTACAAACAGCTGATCTCCTGTTAGCTTTCATGGGGCTGGGAGGGGTCCTGCCCAGGCAGAGAGGCCATCATGGGGGGCTGCCTCCAGTCCCCATCTGCCCTCGCAATGTGCCAGGGGTGGGGAACTCCTCACTGACTGGGAATAACCCTCCATTTCCTACCTGAGGGTGTGCCAACACTTTTAAAAATGGGACATTCTTCCCGACAGTAATGTCCAGCCCCAGGGCTGGGCACACTCAAGGACCAGGGGGCTCGGGGTGGCTTCAACTGTGTGCTTGAACACAGAAGATATGTGTTCCTCCTGATGACCCCGCCTGCCAGCATCGGTCATGGAAAGGACCTTCTGGGAAAGTGGAACAGCCCAGTATCAAAGGCTGCGCCCAGGAAGTGACTTGAACGGGCACTGTGTAGCTTGTATGCCGGATCAGAAATGAGGATTGTGTTTGCTTTTTGGAGTTCCTGCTGGCCTAGCCCCGATCCTCCTATAGCAGTTTCCATGTCCCCCGTTAGTGTTGAGGGACCACAGCGAGGCACTGTCCACTTGCAAAGGCGAGACAGGCCCCTGATAACTGAGGAGAGATGACCAGGCCCCAAAGATCTCTCACATCCCCGCAGAGCAGCCAGGGCCCCAGTGCCTCCTACCCCACTTGCCCTTTCCTGTGCCCTCCCTTCCTTAAGTCCAGCTGTCCTGTGGAGAGTGAGTGTCCAGAGCGACCATGCACATTGGAGATAGTCCAGGATTAAAGACGCTTGTCTTGAGTCGGGAGTGGGTCCTCTCACTCCACGTCAGCATTCACTTCCTGAACACTCTCAGTGTATGTGGAAGGCTCACCATGTGTCCAGGAATCAGCCCCCCTTACTCAGCCAGCCTGTGATTGATTGTCCCCACTTCACAGGTGAGTAGACTGAGCCTGAAAAAGGGTTAGGTGAGTTGTCTAGTGAAGTGGCAGAGTGGAAATCCCATCTCTAGCTGTGTGTGTGACCAGAACCCTGTCAGCTGCCACTGTGGTCGTTGCCCGAACTCAGAGGATCCGTCGGAGGAACGAGGGTGTTGGAGTCAGGAGGGGTGTTGGAGGTGATCCAGTCCCTGACAGGTCCTAAGACAGTCCACCCCTGCAGCCCGAGAGGGGAGGGAACCTGGGTTTCCTGGCTTTTTCTTTTTCTGTTAGTTTTTCCTTGTTAACTGTGTTTTTATTCCAGTATTACAGTTTGGGGAAAATGAGAGCACCACGCCTCCTGTAATTATAATAAACCTAAAGCCAGCTCCAGGTTCTGTCAGGAGACTTGGTAGAAGTCCCATTTTGTGTCCCAAGGGTCCTCAGCAGTGTGTGTGGGAGGCCCTGTGAAGAGAACGCGGCAGGGAGGGGTGGTGTCCCACTCTCACCAGAACTCTCTCCTTCTCCAGTTGTCCATCTCCCAGTTGGTAGCGTCCCCGCAGTCCCTGGGCCAGTGCCGGCTACCTAGACCCTCACCATTGCAGGGTGATGGCTCACCACCAGGCCCAACACAGGCGGTAAGTGCCCCCGTGCCTCTGCCAGCTTCCACAGGGGATGGTTCTGTGTTTGTAACTTGTGCTGAAGGCTCTTTTAATGCAAGCTCGGCTTGTCCTCAGTTAGGTGTCGAGGACAGGATGCCACTGAGCTTGAAGAGACGTGGGTTACAGGGACCTGTGTTTTCAGCTTTTGAACTAAGCGTACCATCATGGTGTCTTTGAGGAGGGACACAGGGGAGAGTTTGGCTCTTGAAGCGTGCTGCCCTGGGCTCAATTTCAGGTTTTTGTGCTCCTTGATAAGACAAAAAGTTAAACTGCCCTTAGATCTCTGTGCACAAAAGGAAAAGAGGACATGCTGTAGATAAAGACAGACAACAGGCCTCATCCCCCAGGCTCGCTGTCCTTGCCGGCTCAGCAGCTCAAGAGGAATTAGGGAAACCCACTCCTGGGTTCCGATGGACTGAGTGGCAAAAATAGGCCTTTGCTTCCACTGCCCTTGGGGATTTGCATGGAGTTTTGTCTCAAAACCCTGCAAATTGCAGTCTCTTTCTGAAAGTATGTTGAGGAAAAAGAACTCCAATTACTGGCTCATTTGGAAATACAGATACTGGCATGACATGCCTTATTCTAGAACATGCTAGAACTCATGCGTTTGTGAAGAACTGGGGTGTCTTTCTATTATTGGCACCCGAGACATGTGCTGGGAGTGCCTCTGGCACTGTGGTATTCCTTTTGTTCTGAAACAGAAAGTTTGACACTCAAACTTGAAAGCGATACCTGGCTCCCAACAAGCTCTTCGTGTGGACATGCTCACGAGTCTTCTGTGGGGGTGTATGAGGTGGGGCACAGGAAATGACTAGAACACTCAGGCAGTGTGGGGTCAGGACAGAGAACCCTCCGGGCTGAGACCACAGCTTACCTTTGACTGGTGAAGGAGGCTCCATCTTTCTGTTCTCTGAACACATTTTTTTGTGTTAATCTTGGGCATCAGGTATCTACCACGGAACTGACTTGTTCACAATATCGATGAATCCATCTTTATTGTGTTTAGACTTAGCCAACAGGCTGTCCAAATGGGAGTACAGGACACGCGTTTGATAAGCAACAAATGGTATATTTGCATAAGAATATCCCAATTAAAGAGGCCTGTGGTTAAACACTCAGCTGCTAACCACAGGGTCAGCAGTTTGAATCCACCAGCTGCTCCATGGAAGACAGATGTGGCTGTCTGCTCCTTTACAGATTACAACCTCAGGGACCCTATGGTGTCAGATCTACTGTGTCTTACAGGGTCACCATGAGTTGGTACCTAACACCAACAACGCTGTCAAGTTGGTTCCGGCACACAATGACCCTGTAGAGGGTTATTGAGGTTGTCAAGTTGTATGGGAGCAGAGAGCCTCATTTCTCCTGTAGAGAAGCTGGTGGGCTCGAATTGCTGACCTTGTGGTTCCCATTCCAGAGCTTATCCTGTTACAGAGCCACCAAGCTCCCAGATATTGCATGGGACATACTTAGATTAAGAATACTTTTTGTTTATGCAAAATTGAACTTTAACTGGTGCTTCTGTTTTTCATTGGCTAAATCTGGCAGCTCTACAGGCCCTCTTATGTGCGGGAACACCGCTGATGCAGGTGGGGATCCTCACTTGGGGGGGGTGTCTCATTTTGTTCGGCAGGAGGTCCCCTTTGAGGGCAGCATCTCTCACCTGGAAGCTAACCTGAGCAAGACTTCTGTGGTCCTGGACACGTGTGTGGCTGAGCAATTGCAGGAACTGCCTTTCATGCCCTTGCATGCCCCGATCATTGTTGGGGCTCAGACCAAAAGGTGAGGCAGTGGCTCTGATGGGGTTTGGACCAGGCAAGTGCTTACGTTCTGAGCAATGGGCTATCCACATCGAGGCCTGTTTCCAGGCCCGGCTGCCTCTACCTGCCCTTCTCTGGGTGACTGGTTGATGACTGCTCTCTGTTCCAGCTCTGGAAATGCGCTATCTCGGGCCTCGATGGTGCTCCTGCAGGCGTCTGGCTTTCCAGAGATCCTGGATGCCAATCAGCAGCCAGCGGAGGCTGTGAGTCCCACAGATCCCGTGAGATTCAGCCCTCAAAAGGAAGAGGCAGACTGTTTACAGAGCAATGAAATTGTGCTGCAGTTTCTGGCCTTCAGCAGGTAAAAACCCTTCCCACGCCACTCTCTCCCTGGCTTGCACACTTCCTGCTGTGCTGAATAGAAGCGTCTGTGTGGCTCTGACTTGGTGGAACTGTGAGCCCAGGTATTATCAGATTAAGGGATGCTCTTTGTGTTTGATTTGAGATAGTTACTGCCCCCACCCTCCTATCATGTGTCTTCACCTGCTAGGAGTGCTATAGCAGAAATGCTTCGAGGGGGTGGCTTTAACAAAGAGAAGCTTATTTTCTCACAGTTTAGGAGGCTAGATGTGTGAACTCAGAGCTAGATGTGTGAACACAGGTCCTTCTGTCCTTTCAGTTTCTGCTCCTGAGTTTCTTGGTGAGCTTCATGTGGTGTGGCATCTTGCTCCCCCCGTCTGTGCTTCCTTGCCTTGTGCCTAGTCTGCTCTCTTTAGATCTCAAAAGTGAGTACGTTTAAGACGTGCCATCTACTGATATGGCTTCAAAACTATGACAATGGAAACTATACCCAAATGGGATTCCATCCGCAAGTACAGGGGTTAAGATTCTGGCACCAAGGAGCACTGGTGGTGCAGCAGTTAAGCACTCTGCTGTTCTCAAAAAGGCCAGAGATTGGAACCCTTCAGCCTCTCTTTGGGAGAATGGTGCAGCCTGCTTCCATAGAGGTGACAGCTTTGGATACCCTACAGGGAACTTCTCTGTCCTATGGATTGGATGGAAATGGGTTTTTTAAAAAATAATTTCAACATGTATTTTTTGGGGATGCACTCAGTCCCTAACACTGTGTTTGGCCTGATTCCCGTGGCCCTTAGTTAGAGTGTGGATGGGTGTGTGACTAGTCCGAGGTGTTGGTGTCACCTGGGGAGCAGCATCATACATTCCTGAAGTGCTCAGGAGTCCACCAGCTCACTGAGAACCCAGTAATGCCATTCCTGTTGGTGGATGAGGGGTGTCTTATTGCGGTCTGCAATCTGCAGGGCCCGGGATGTGTCATCGTGCAAGTGTGACAGCAGCCCTGGTCCCCTGCTGTGGATAATTGATTAATTGGGAACTGTTATTGGACCTAGAGTATCTCAAGACCACAGGAGCACGCCGTGGCCAAAGACTGTGTATTTCACCTTCCAGTTCTACCGCTTCCCACCTGCCACCACGCCCCGGCTGCAGCTGGTCAAGCTGGATGAGGTTGGGAAAAGCACCTCAGGCCCCTTGTCCCACATCCTTGTGGCGATGAACAAAGACGGCTCCTTTGATGCTGGTACGGACTGTTCAGAGGGTGAATGGGGGTGGTGCCGGCACTACTGTGTTTTGAAAATCTAGTATTTAAAAAAGTTTACTATGAAAACTTTCAAGCACATATACAATTTGGGAGAACCGTGTAATGAATCAAACCGCCAGCTGCTCAGCAATCAACTCTATCCTGATGCAGTTTTCTCCCCGAACCACACTTATTTTGAAGCAAAGCTCAGACCTGCTATCTCTTCATCTATACATACATCTGTCTGTATAGCTAAAAAACTAAGGTGTCCTTGTTGTTGTTGTTAGGTGCATCAGGTTAGTACTGACTCGTAGCGACCTAATGCAGAGCAGAACAAAATGCTGCCCGATCCTGGGCCAGCCTCACTACTGTTGCCACACTTCAGTTCATCGATGCTGCCACTTGGCCTCTTCATCTTGTTGGGGGTCTTCCTCTTTCTCTCTGACCCTCCACCTTACCAAAGATGATATCCTTCTCCAGTGACTGGTCCCTCCTGACAACATGTCCGAAGTTTGACCATCTTGGCCTCCAAGGAGCACTCTGGCTGCACGTCTTCCAAAACGGATCTATTGGTTCTTTTGGCACCCCATGGCACCTTCAGTACTCTCCTCCAACACCATAACTCAAAAGCATCAATTCTTCTACCGCCTTCCTTATTCACTGTCCAGCTTTCGCATGCATATGAGGTTATTGAAATTACCTTGGCTTGGGTCAGGCGCACCTTAGTCCTCAAGCTGACATCTTTGCTCTTCCACACTTTAAAAAGGTCTTGTGCAGCGGATTTACCTAATGCGATATGATGTTTGATTTCTTGATGACTGCTTCCATGAGTGTTGATAGTTGATCCAAGAAAAATGAAATCCTTGACAACTTCAATATTTTCTCCATTGATTAGAATGTTGTTTATTGGTCCAGTGGTGAGGCTTTTTGTTTTCTTAACGTTGAGATGTAATCCATACTGAAGGCTGTGCTCTTTGATCTTCATCAGTAAATGTTTTAAGTCCTCTTCACTTTCAGCAATCAAGGTTGTATCATCTGCATATTGCAGGTTGTTAATGAGTCTTCCTCCAATCCTGACACCACGTTTTTCTTAATAGAACCTAGCTTCTCGGATTATTTGCTTAACATACAGGCTGAATAAGTATGGTGAGAGAATACAACCTTGTTGCACACCTTTCTTAATTTTAAAACATTCAGTGTTCACATTTTCTGATCAAACAGCTGCTTCTTGGTCCATGTACAGATTCCTCATGAGCACAATTAAGTGTTCTGGAATACTCATACTTTGCAATGTTGTCCATAGCTTGTCACGATCTACACAATCGAAAGCCTTTGCATAGTATATAAAGCACAGCTAAACATCTTCCTGATATTCTCTGCTTTCAACCAAGATCCATCAGACATCAGCAATGATATCCCTCGTTCCA